GCTTAGTGGCCATTTAAGGATTATAAGGCATTTACAAGTGTAAGACTCATAAAGCCTAGTTTTTAACATTACCAAAATTTGGTTCTTCAATTATATTCAAGATACTGTCAAACAAGAATTGGTTTTATGAAACCTTACGGTTCAACCTCCATCAAGCAAAATTTCCAACGAAATTCTTGCAACAAATTGAATTCCAACGAGAATTTGTTAGAATTGTAGCAACGTAAAATTTTGCGGTTCTAAAAGAGTACGGTACAATCTTCGTCAAGAATATTATACGGAGTTTTTCTTACTCCAGGTATGTTAAGGTCACCGCTTCTTTCTTTTTGGCATGATCGAAGTTATACAGAAGAAACGAGTAAATGCACAGTTTTCATAAACGACTCTATTCATAGAAATATTAGGGGTCTCTGTGTTCTTGATTCCCCATGTGACATATTCTTATATCTTCTGTTCATAGGTCTCAAAATAATACGCATTGGATAAAGCTTATTCGAAAAATATTGAGATTTTAAACATATTTTCATGTATTTTATTCATTTATGCATATACATTGACCCATGACCAGACAGCGTTATATACGCGTATTTATATGTATATATTTATGTATATGGGATATGGGAAAAAGGTTACTGCGTTATATACGCACCACCACCTGATTAGTTGGTATATGTTGATGATGTTGTCCACAGTGGCCGAGATGATATGATGGGATGCCCTCATTTGCTTGATGATGTTATGTACACTTATACCCATGCGTGACACGACATTTATATGCACGTGCATGATATTATAAATATTCAGAATTTGCAAAGTTATACAGATTTATAGTTGGATCTCTTTATTCCATGTTCCATTTATGTCTTTTACGTACTGATTTTCATGCCTTACATACTCAATGCATTTTTCGTACTGACGCCCTATTTCACGGGGCCTGCATTTCATGCCCACAGGTGCAGGTAGGCATGCTGACGGTCCCCCTTATTAGGATGCTTGATCAACGAGAGTTGGCGTGCTCCACTTGATCCGGAGCTGCTTTTGATTTTAGTACGATATGCTTGTGTATGTGTGTGTATATATATATATATATGAGTCTCGTCTTTGTACAGTTGTATTTCTATTAGAGGTCTGTAGGCATTTATGTACAGTTGGATAGTATGTGGCCTTGCCAACTTTCAGTTTGGGTATATAGTTGTCTATCGCGGCCTTGTCGGCTCGCCCACTGTAATCCGCGCGTATATGTATATATGTCTTTTGGACAGGTTTTCCTCGCGCATGTTACTCTCGTAATTCTGCAGATAGTGTTCATGTTTATATTTTAATCGCATGCTTAAGGGTGTTCGACAGGTACGACTCAGACACCCATCGCGGCCCATCGGTTTGGGTCGTGAGAAAATATTTATAAATATTTTAAATGCAAACTTTATCCTGATTTTTTTGAATTACTTCAACTACTTAAATAATCAAATTGTAAGTCAAGAAAAAATAGTAGAATTTGGATAGACTTGAATGTATGAATATCCAGTATATTTACATATTCCTAAAATGATATCATTTTCATGCTTCTTTATGTATATCGTATTTTTCAAATAATATTTTTTAATAAAAAATATATATAATATTTTTCGCCCAACGCGCCGCTATAAATACTAGTATAAATAAAGGGAGAATTTTCATTAACAAAGCTCCTGGTGTACAAAGAATACTTTAATAACATCATATACAATTATTAAAGTTTATTAAAAAGGAAAGAGAAGAGGGGTGATCAGCAAGGATAATTGCAAGCACAAAAGATACCGTCAAAGCGAATCTGCTAAATGCATCCAAATTTCTGCTTGCAAAATGGAAAATATTTTGGCTCAACGTTGCCTTGATCACACAATATTTTTGTATGTATTTAATAACAGGTGTTTGCTACCTTTATTGACGGGATCATCGTTCCAACTGCAACCAATAAAAAAGATGGATAAAAAATAAGTATTCACATTTTAAAAAATCTGATTTACGACCTTATTACAAGGCTCCCCCGTCCCAAATTATATGAGGTATTAAATTGAGCACGGAGTTTAGGATAACAAGAATTTTTTTTGAAACTTTTGGTTTGAAACAAATCATAGAGGCTTTTTATAGCTATAAATTATCTCACTAAAGGTAAAATGCAAGTCAAAAGCTTACCCATTTTTTTTAGTTCTAGAAATATAGTTAACGAGTCTCCAGTATCTTGTTGTGTTTCTTTACTTACTCTGGATAATCGAAGTAACCATGAGTGTCCTTTTATAGCTTGTAAAACAGCTGCAGAATATGTCGAAATCAAATATTTTTTATTGGATTTTGGAATATGCAATTAGATTGAGTGTTAATTTGTTACCATAGGTCTTGGAAATTTGAAATATATACTCCTACTATATTCTGAAAGTTAATTTGTTACGAATTTATTTAGATTTTGCAAATGAATGGTTCTAACCACTTACTACAATATACACATACTCACAGAAAATTCGCAAGCATATGCATATTAAACCGATACCTAACAATGTTATTGGAAAATGAAATTCCTTTACTTTTAATGTTATCGGATCGATGAAATTCGTTCACATTTAATTAGATGTTTCGATCCATTTTAAAGAATGGATAAATTCATATGGGATGTGCTTCCTTACGATTATACAAAGAAAAAAAAAGGAATTACGTAAACGTCAATTAACCGAGACAATTCAAGTTACCTATATACACCAATAAATGTATGCCGTACCATTCTTTTGCAAATAAATTTGACTTATTAAAAATTTAAAAAAAAAAACTCACAATTACATTAAAACATTAAAAATTCATAAGCATCCATGATTTTAAAAAAAATTCAAAAACAAAATAAATGTTAAATTATATCCCATGAAGATGTTAGACCATAATCCATAAATTTTATATTATTCACAAAATAATTTTTTAAAAATTGCTTAAAGTTGACTCATAGAGCTTAATTAACTAAGCTTGATTTATAAATCAACTACGAATTTATGCCATCTAAAGGAGGCGTTCGGCCTTAGTTTATGAAGAAAAAAAAGGTCACTGGTTTGAAAAGATGTGGATTTGCTTTAATTTTTCTAGAAGCTTTTGTAACAATACATCTGTTCTGGACAAATGACAGGCTAGTTAGAACGATAAAAAGTCATTAATTTGCCTGGACGCCAGATTAGTGGGACTAACGTGAGAGATTTGATAACCAATTAGTAGAAGTAGAATCAGTGTAATGCACTCAATTCATGTGCATAATTTTAAACATTTATTTTCCATGATAAACTATTACTACTACTAAATAAAGATTTTAGCCAATAAAGTACTAAAAATTGCTTGTTATGGAAAAATATATTGTTAATTATTCATTTGAGCCATAAAAAAAAGAAATAATGGAAGTACTACAGTAGCACATTGCATATTGTAGGCTGTTGAAATCGTCAAACTTCAAAGGTATAACTTATGTTGGAAGTTTCCAAAGGCTGTTTAGCCATAAATTACTATTTTATTATTGTCAATTAGTATTTGATTTTTAATTAATTTATTGGAAAATTTTCGCAGTCGCTACTAGGTAACCTGTTTACTATGCAATAGCTCGCAAATCACAAGAAATATAAACTGCACTAAGCATATCCGATGCGACGAGCTTTGATTTCTGACCGAGGAGGTTGTTGGTAAGGAAAATTGTTCCCGAGGATTTCTATACAATTTTTTTTTGGCAAGAGTTTTTGATTAGAATGGGAGCGTAGTTGATGGCGACGTGCGGAAGGGGAAGTGAACACACACGATATATATCTCTACGCGTTTTTTTTTCTCTCTTTCACTTCAAATGTCAGTTGGTGCATTCTTTGTTATCGTCTTATTAGGCCTTAGAAGCCATGTTTTAAGTCTCAACAACTCTCAACTCTCATTTAGTTTCTTATACTTAACATCATAGTTTTGATAGGTAAAAATGTAAAAAGCATTTGGTGTTTACATCAAAACAATAACCGTAAAATATATGTGTTTTTGTATATGTATTTATCACTTAACTCTTATTAAATAATGTACCTTCTTGCTTTAACATTTAACTATTAAAATTAAATTATTTAATTTGATATGAACATTGAATGTGAATACTTCTTTACCTTTTTGACGTGGGGATGGATTTCTTCTTGGTGCTAGCTAAATGGTATGTGAAGGATTGAAGGTCTTGAAAATGACTTCAAATGTCTCCAAAATCTCTAATATCTGGATCCAACTTATCCATATGACAGCAGATAGCCACTCTAAAGGGCTATTATTTAGGAATTCACCAATATATTATGAATTTAATTTTTTTGTTTAATTTTTCAAGACACAAATATTCTGAATTGTTCTGAAATTATTTTCATGATAAAATAAGTACCGGCAAATTGTGAATAAGAACGCCAAGAATGGCTGTTTGTGCACTTCTACTTTAGCAAATGTCCAATCCTTGAGCAATTTGTACGCTGGCTGTAATAAACGTCAAAATTATCCGTAAACGTTTCCAAAGAACTGGTCAAAATGTCAATTAGTAGCTCATATGATTGGTTAGAAGCGAGTGTTGAAAGATACTTTAATTACAATGTACGCGGTATTGATTATAGGCTGTCATTCTTAAAACAGCAGCAGCCAAGCATGTGATATTTTCCAACTCTTGCATCATACTATACTTAGTTTCATTATTTAATCAAAAGATAATGCGTAATGACCAGACTTTAATGCCTAAATACTCTTTTCAATATTCCCACAACTGCTCCATTTCCAACCCCACAAGTAATCTTACACTTCCCAAACACATTGTTTTCTCTATATATTATAAATACAAAGTCCCTTAATTTATTCATCCAACAAAAAGTGCCCAACCCCAAGACAACCACAAAGCTAAAAAAAAAAAAACAAAGACGCAAAGTTCAAACCAAGTTAAAGGTTGTCTCCTAAAGAGCTCCTTTTGTCCAAAGCAAGTTCTCATTAGGCCTAAATCAATGGCAGATGATGGGGAAGACTTGACCCCATTTTGGCTGCAAAACACCACCGATCTCCGCCGTACCGATCGCCTCCGCCACCACCTGTCGTCTCTTTTCTTTAACTCCGCTCTCTTGCTCGTCTTTCTGTTGGTTACAGCAATTTTCTTCTTAGTTTTCATAGTTCCCTCAAGTCTCTCTTTCACAAATAGTAGTATATTTAGACCAAGCAGTGTAAAGAAAAGCTGGGATTCGTTCAATGTAGTGTTGGTTCTAGTTGCTGTGATCTTTGGTTTTCTCAGCAAAAACAAGAATGAAGACAGAAATCCCAATGACTATCATCAAGTTACTTCTCCAATTATTAGAAATGAAGTTAAGAAATCAAACCCATCAACCCCAAATAGTCGATGGTTTAATGAAATACGAAATCCAAATCCAACTACTCCTCGCACATGGTACGATAATGTGGATCGAAATTCCTATAGCAACAATCAGAGCAATAATAATGGTGGGGCTGGATTGAGGAGGAGTTTTAGTTCATATCCTGATTTATGTGAAGTGTCGCCGCGGTGGATCTCCGGCGAAGATCATTGGCGGTTCTACGACGATACTCATGTTGATACTTATCGGTTTTCGGATCCCGGTCAGCTTCATCGCCGCCGTAGCTGGAGAGAAGTCGATCGTTCTCCGGAACCTGATATTAAAACTATTTATGAAGATCCTTTAGAATCCAAAAAGGAAGCTATATTTACTCCACCATCTTCAACTCCTCCTCTGCTCTCGCCGCCGTCTCCGCCAGCTCCGGCACCAGTAGTATATGAGGAGAAGGTGAAGAGAGCAACTCATAGTGTTCCGCGTAAAAAGGAGAGAACAAGGAAGAAGAGGGAAAATCATGAGGTAGAAGCAAATGAAGTTGTTAGGGCACCGGTGACACCTCCTCCTCCTCCACCTCCACCACCGCCACCGCCACCATTGCCGCAATACGTGGAGCCGAGGAGCAGTAAAAGCGATAGGAAAAGAGGTGGTGCAAGTGCTACAAAAGAGTTTATCAATTCTTTGTATCATAAGAAGAAGAGGAAAAACAGGTCAAAGAGTGTCGATAATTTTGATGCTCTCCTCCATAAATCAGAACCTCCTCCTCTCCATTATCATGAATGGCCGGAAACATTCATCACTCCACCTCCGCCACCACCTCCTTCGTTGTTTCAGAACCTGTTCACATCCAAAAAAGCTAGGAGAAAGAGAAATGCGCCTCCACCACCACCTCCTCCTCCGCCTGTCAGGGCGGCGCCGGTTAGGATATCAAGACCAAATGCCCAAAATGACCAAAATGCCCCGATCACCAGAACTCCAGCACCAAAGCCAGTGAAAATAAGAAGTTTCGACAGCGTCGAGGAGAACTCGAACAGCGGTGGGAATTCCCCATTAATACCAATTCCGCCACCGCCTCCACCGCCACCGTTCTACAAGAAGAACGCATGGAAGTTTGTGGTGCAAGGTGACTACGTGAGAATAGACAGCACCGTCAGCTCACGTTCTGGTTCGCCTGAACCTGAAGATATAGATTCAGCTGAGAGCACCCCGACGGCGGAATATGTCGGCGGTGATCGGACGGCCTTTGCGCCGTCGCCATTATTCTGTCCAAGTCCAGACGTCAACACAAAAGCTGAAAACTTCATATCAAAGTTCAGAGCTGGATTGAAGCTAGAGAAGATCAACTCCTTCAATAAAAATGAAGGCCGAGGTTTATCTAATTTGGGCCCAGGAGTAGGCCCAAGTTAGCTATTGCATTTTTTTTTACCACATTGATTGATTTGTTAAAATTTTCATTTTTTACACGTTTTTTCATGATTATTTGAGGTGTTTTCGAAGTTTTATTGCAGTGTACAGAAAAAGATTACAGCAGAGAATTCATCATAGGTTAGAAGTTGGAATTAATATATTTGATTTTATTGTTTTTTTTTCGGGGAACGGATATTTTGGAAACAGTTTCTCTATCTTTATAGGTAAGGATAAGGTTTGCCTACAAACTATCTTCCCAGACCGGGATTGCATTGGGTTGTTGTTATCGTCCTTATTTTCGGGAGATTGTTGTTGCATTTGGTAAATTGGTCATGTAGTTGAGTAGCATAAGTTAAGGAGGAAATGTGTGATTTTGAGTAATCCACGATGATGTATTGATAAGAGGAAATAATATTGGATATATTCCATCTTGGATTCTTCTGCATGTAGAGATTTTCTTGTTAAGTGATAGCTGGCTTGAATTTTCAGATTAAGGAAAAGAAAAAGGACACGACTTGGGCGCAAATTGCGATTTCACTTGGATTTTAGGGGCGCAACACAAGCTGAGTTGTTGAGTGTTAGTTGAAATTTGAAACAATCAAACCTATCTATAACAATCGTATCTAGCCTTTAGCCTTATGGTACCGGATTCATATTATTTTTAACGTAAAGCATAATTTATGTGTAAAAATTTATTAATATTATAATAAATAATAGTTATGAACTCACAACTTTCAAAATATAATGGGTTCAATATTTAAAATCTCAGATATTAAACCCATAAAGTTTAAATCCCGAATCCGCCTCGGATAACAACCTCTTTTGTTCCGAATATTTTTGGATGTTATAACGAAGTGTTGTTATAGAGAATATTTATTATAACATAACTTAAAAAATGGTTTTGAAAAAGTTTGGCTTTTATAGTGAGGTGTTATATAGGAATATTGTTATAGAGAGATCTGAATATATTACATTCGTTCACAATAATATTAGCATTTGCACATCTCATTCCTTCTCAAAGGTACAAGTAATAGAACATATCTTACAATCATTACATATATATATATATATATATATATATTAATCACTAATTGATAAGATAGTGTAGGTCCAATTTACTACACACCAACTGTAACATGTTCTAAGTAGTGATAAACGTGAAGCAAATACCAATTACTTTTCTCATCCCCGACTTTGTCAATTGGGCCTATGCTTCTATCATAAGTGTACATATGTACTCTTAGGACCACCATCATCATCTTTATGTTACATAGGCTTCTATTCTAGTCCTACCACATGACTAGTCATTTATCAAGCCCTTCGGGCGCATAGACGAACCATACTTCTTATGATTCACGTAAATTCAATAGTAATTTTTATTCGTACTTTGTATATGTATTAAGATTTTATTAAATATTTATAAATATTTAACTATAAATTTAATTATTAATGTATATTAACTTGAGTTTACTGTATGAACACATAAATTTTAAATTCTAAATACTCTTATAATTGAGTGCCTAATTGGCAACCCAAAACCCTATACAATGATAAATTCAAAAAAATGTTGTAGCTTGGAGATGGTACTTTGCTCCAGGCTCCAGTGCGCCATGCGCCGCACCTAAATTTTACAGAGTATTTTTTCTATTTTGGTTTGAAAAGGATAATTTTGTCCGGGCCCACTCCTACATGATATAAATACACCAAAAACATGATCTTTAGAGGACTTTTGACCTTGGAAGCTTTTGGGGAACATGGGAGGCTACAAGACATAAGATTTTATCATCTTTTTATCAGTTCAATACGGGAGTTTGAATTGTAACGTTAGATTGATATTTTCTTACTCTTTAATTATATTTGTGATGACTTTGTCACGATCCAAAATCTACTAAGGGTCGTGATGGCGCCGGAAACTACTGTCAGGCAAGCCAACCAAAATACTTATATAAATTCTTGTTTTAATAATTTTGAAAAACTATGATTTTCCTTCAATTTTACCAGTAAAGGATAATCGTTTCAAATCAAATATGAATGTTAAGAAGTTAATACAAGATACCCCATAATCATCCCAGAACCCGGTATCACAAGTGCATGAGCATTTACTAGGGAATGAAATAAAATACAGTAAATGTCCGGAATACAAAGTGGACAGATATGAAAAGCACAGTAAAATACTCTGAAGGGGACTCTGCTGGCTGCGGGTCGTCTCGATAATGCAGCTCACCTAAGTCTCCGTATCAACCATGTTGCTAAGCCACTAGCCACATATGAACCTGTGCAACAAAAATGCACAGCAAGTGTAGTATGAGTACGAAAACAACGTGTACCCAATGTGTATCCCGTCTAATCTCGAAGAAGTAGAAATGAGAGGTTGACTTCGACACTTACTAATGGTCCAATGATAATATAGCAACAGTGTGGGGAACTCATGGATTTCAGAAAGCAAAATTTAACTCACAAAGTCGGAAAGCAGGTAAACAACTTCTCAAATAATAAAGGATTTCCAAGAATTTACTTTTAATTATCTTTATCCATTTATCTCTGGCCAGGAAAGGCAAGTATCAACATTAAAAATTCTCAAGCAAACAATATAAGCATGCACATATCATGTCGAGGTCGTACAACCTAATCAACGTAAATGTAAAATGTGCATTGCTGAGGGTTGAATGACGCGAACCATAGATGCATCTATTACCGCTCACGAATCATCCACGCGACGAGGTCAACATAAAATAAACAAAAACCCTGCTCGCAAATTATACATGCGACACAGGTACACATAGAATCATATATTCAAACAGTTAATCAAGACTTCATTAGGGAACAACTATCCAAGGAAAATCCAAATTCTCCCTTTTTAACGGTTTAAGAAAAATGAAGTTTAATCCTTTTAGATATTCATTTACCAATTCGATAGAATTTAAGCAATTCAAATCGTCAATAAGATTACAAATATTTCCAAGTACATCATGCTTTTGGGTCTTAGACCACCCGGACAATAGCATAATAGTAGCTACGCACGGACTCTCGTCACCTCGTGCGTACGTAGCCCCCACAAATAGGAGCACATAACCAATTACCTCACCTATGGGGACAATGCCCTCTTACAAGGTTAGAAAGGAGACTCACCTCGCTCGGAAGATCCATAACCGGCATTCCACGCCCTTCCGAAGACTCGAATTGATGCACAATGCTCCAAAACTAGCCAATAATTATGCAAATCCATTAGTATATGTTCAATTACTCATTACAATCTAATTTATAACAATTCTTAACCCTGATCGAAAAGTTGACAAAATTGCCCTCGGGCCCCACGTGCCTAGATTCCTAAATTTTTTGAAGATAAAGTTTACCCATGAACTCACGAACTCAACTATATGATTTTCTCTTAATTTCATACCCAAAATCGTGGTCAAAATCCAAGAGCATCAATTTTCTAGGTTTTCCCTCAAACCCCAAGTTTCTACAAATTTTCATGCTCAAATCCGTAACAAAACCATGTATTTAACGTCTAATGAATGGGAACAACTTACCTTGACATAGATGAAGAAAATCTCTCTTCCGAAAGCTCCAAAATCATCCAAACCGAAGTGAAAATGAACCAAAACTCGATTTTTAAAGAGAGCTCACTGCCTCCAGTCCTTTCGCACCTGCGGTCTCTTGACCGCTTCTGCGGTCCCGCAGGTGCGGACCAATTGCCGCTTATGCGGTCCGGGGATCCCATCCCATTTTCGATTCTACGCTCCTTCTTCCGCAGGTGCGGTCCTGCTTTTGCGGTGACCTGACCGCATCTGCGGTCCCATCCTTCACCCTTCACCACCGCATCTGCGGCCAAAACTTTGCAGGTGCGGTTGTACGAGATATCAGTTGCTTAAGCTATTCTTTCAAACCCCAAGTCAATCCTTTAATCACCCGAAATTCACCCGAGGCCCCCCGGGACCCCAACCAGTCCCAAAACACATTACGGACTTGCCCGAGGCCTCAAATCATAACGCAAAAATCATGAATCGACCCCCAATCCAAGCTTAAGGAACTTTAGAATTTCAAACTTCTACATTCGATGACGAAACCTATCAAATCACGTCTGATTGACCTCAAATTTTGTACACAAGTCATATTTGACATTATGGACCTACTCCAATTTCCGGAACTGGATTCCGACCCCAGTATCAAAAAGTCCACTTCCGGTCAAACTTCTCAAAACCCTTCAAATTTCTATCTTTAGCCAAATGACTCTAAAATAACCTACGGACCTCCGAACTCACTTCCGATCGCGTTCCCAACTCCAGAATCACCATACGGAGCTATTCCTATACTCAGAATCCCAAACGGACATTGATAACCCTGAAATGCACTTCAACCCAAACTTATGAAATTCCTCCAAATTACTAACTTCCACAATAGGCGCCAAAACGTTCCCGGGTCTTCCAAAACCCGATCCGGACATACGCCCAAGTCCGAAATCATTATACGAACCTGCTGGAACCTTCGAATCCCGATTCCGAGGTCGTTTACTCAGAAATCCAATCTTACTAATTCTTTCAACTTAAAGCTTCCGAAATGGGAATTCCCTTTCCAAATCAACTCCGAATTCCCCGGAATTCAATTACGACCGTGCACAAAAGTCATAATACCTAAAGTGAAGCTACTCATGGCCTCAAACTGCTGAACAACACGCTAGAGCTCAAAACGACCGGTCGGGTCGTTACAGACTTCCTCTATGATTATGGAGTAGTTTATCTTGGGGTTTGACATGATTTGGTGACTGAGTTGTTGTTTACGGATTTGACTATTGTTTAATTACTTAGATTTATTAGAGGAGCTTTAATATTAGTTGTAATTTTTTTATAGTGTTTAATTGAAAGAGGAACATCTTAATGAATATTATGTAACTATTGGGGCATATACTATTAACCATGCATTTGGATATAGTATATTCTAATAATTGTCATGGTTAAAAGTCTAAGTGGGAGATTATTGGGATATATACTATTAACCAT